AAAAAAAAGTTGCAGCGAGAACGCAGAAATGAATTTAACAGCCAAAAAAAAGCAAGGATAAACCTATAGAAATAAGTTGAAACCGACGCACTTATTTGCTGCTTTCTCCAAGTCTCCTGTTGTAAAAAACAACATTTTTCATGAAAGTAAAAGTCTGTCTACATTGAACAATACACCAGTAGACTTTTTTGCGACATTTTAAATCACAGACTCAATGACAGATTGTAGAAAACGGAAAAGCCTTAAACAACTTGAACTATAAAAAAATTATTTTATACAGAAAAATACAGCAGTAGTCTGAAGATTTATTTACTATTCTCAAAACAATAGCTCTCCAGATGTGTAACCTTGTCTACAGTTCAGGAAGTCTACAACTGTAAAATATATGCTTCTTGCGAATACTGCAATATTAGAATAAAATTGCTATAAGTAAAACAAAAGCCACATTCATTAAAATTCTGACAGTGTTAAAAAATTCGAAGCAAATTACAAAATTTCAGTTAAAAATTACGTATTTACCTAGAAAATGACTCGAGTTTCCAAACCTAGCCGAAACACAACATTCTGCGAAGGAAAATAACAGAACGAACGGTAAACAGTAAAGACATTCTTAAAAAATTCTCAACAAAATGAAAAAGGCAAAAATGCACAAAGATTAATGGGTAAGGTGTAAAAGTATATTTAAATGTCAAGCTTAAGGCTAACTTTCATTTCTTCAAAATGCTCTGCTCCAAACAGATGTGATTCAGCATGAACATTTGTGGAACAAGGATCAAAGAAACGGTCCTCTCTATCTTCTGGTATATTTTCAAAAATCTTGGGTGATAATGAAGGGTACCTGTCGATTAACAACCATAACACTAATTGTGAACAAAATTTGTGTTGTAAACCCAATGTGTCGCTTAAAATAGAAGCGAACTGAAAACAGTTATATAGAAATCATCTTCTTGATCATTAAATCGGTTTGGAAGGTAAATGAGGTTAGTTAGCACAACCTAATATACTAAATCCTAAAACGCGGTTGATAAATGATAAAATTAGCGTCATGAACTGAACATAAATACACAGCGTAAAACTACACATCAAGTGAAAAACTTGCCTTTTCTCTTAGGACTACTTCATCGTCCTGCAAAAAGAGAGCAGCCGTCTCAATCCCCTCTCGCAAACTATTTCCTAAACAAAAAAAATAGCCAAAAACAAATCAAATTTCTTGTTTTCCATTATGATAAGTACTACTCGTTTCAAACGCTCTCTGCCATGAACAACTCTTCAAACACTAGAAAAGAAGAAACGAGAGAATAAATGTGCCAAACTGAAAAGCTGTCTTCATCAAATTAGGATGACAGAAGGATTCAATTCTAAATACCTGTAGCCAAAACATGTTCAGCAACAGTGGCGGCCAGTTGTCGGCTAGGAATATCTTCTCTTCTTGAACAACTACGCAGCCATTCGAAATTCCACTCCTTTTCAGCACAATAAAAAAATTTTAGAGCTAGTACCACGTCCTCTGTGAATGAACTGAAACAAGAGCTATATATCGAAGAAAAATTGTGAGTAAAGGAAAAAGTTCCTACAGGAACAGTTTTATCCTGATCAAGAAGATCAGTAATTGAAAATAATTTTCCAGAACGTCATTTCCTAAACTGATGAAGGTGTTACTTCTGATTTCTTCAATGAGCAAAAGTTTTGAAAAACCTCGAAAAATGAAAGTTATCCAGTATAGAAATTTCAAATTCTTCTTTCATTTCACTCAAACATCCCGTCCTTTCAGCATGGATAGTAATGCGGACGATTAGTTCAAGGATCTAAAGGCAATATCTCTGTTCAACATAACAAAAAATGACTCATCATGCAAATCTTAAATCACTAAATAAGGTTTCAAAGCCCTTACCTGACGCACCTCAACCTCATCAGATCGTCTCAAATCTTCCGTAGCCAATTGAATAACGTAACTAGAATAAAAAGCGTAATCGGTTTCAGACAGTTCTCTCCAGAATATGCAGTTAAGGCGACGTTCAGCCTTCAAAATTCTTTTGAAATCGGCTAAATCGAGCCCTTTCCCTTCCACTGCTACATCATGAAAAATTTAGCCAATTTGTTTTCCGCCTGAACGTTGCTGCTCTTTAAATAAGCAGATCAAAAAAAGCTTAACAAAAAAAATTCAAATACATTGCTAAGTTTAAATTACAGTATCTAGAAATCCTAACGCCAAGAAAAAAATTTAGTAGCAAAGACAGCAGTAAACGATGGCGGTGGTATTAGTTATTGGTATTACTGTTATTATAATATCATTGATATAATAATAATAATAATAATAATAATAATAATAATAATGAAAAATAATAATAATAATAATAATAATAATAATAATAATATATAATAATAATAATAATAATAATAATAATAATAATGATAGCAATAAAAGTAGTGTTAAAAATAACAGTACTCTAATAACAATAATAAACAATTTATGCCTGTTTGAAAAAGTTTATACAAAAGAACACCGCCTTGGTTGACACCAAGAAGAGCAAGTGGATTAAAAATGACAAAATCCACCAGTTTTTTAACCGGAAAAGATTCCTGAGAATCCATACATGAAACCAGCAATGAAACAATGTTTCCCAAATTGTAACCACACCTGCAAGTAGATGTTTTAAAATGGATATATAAATAATCCTATTTATAAATAAGAATAATCTCCCAAAAATTTAGAATAAGACGCTTGAAAACCAGCAAAAAGGTTCTTGCGCCATCTAAAGTTCGAAGAAATTTGGTTACAATGTACTTTAAGTAAAACTGCTAAGAAATACAAGGCATGGCAAACAAAATCCTGGTTAGTTAATCATCTTTACAGCAATTAATGTTGAACAACGCCAATCACCAGAATTTCGACAAAAGAATAAGCGAAAAGAAATTAGATCTCTCTGTAAATAATGACGACACTTTTTCCAAACCTACCACTTGCGATAGATCTGGGAGGTGATTATGTGAACAGTAATAGCATAAATTTCATTCCTTATTTGCAGGCAATCAAAGTATTCATAGAAATAGAAAAGCTGAAAAACAAGCAATGTTTTACTAATCACGTCATTATATTTAGAATTGTGCTTTTGTAGTTAAAAAAATGACCCCATTGCTTCAACCTAAAAACCAAATTTCTTTCTTGAACTAAGAAAAAGACTAGCTTAAAAATTCAATAGAAAGTCTTTATTATCAACTGATATATGAAAAAAGAACGAGTTGAAACCATTAATCAGAAAAAAATGACAAGTGGACTATAATCTCACCATAAGTAACAACGAATGAAGTTGATTTTGCCTGACATGTGCCCAATCCACTTCAGAAAGCCAACGGACGACAAAGAAGGCATCCTGAAAAAACCCACATAATTATTCTCTGAAAACATTAATAAGGTTTCCTTCTAAAGAAAACACTGTGAGACTTCGGCAAAATTTTGGCAGACATTCTGAAAATTCAGTGAGGAGGAAAGAATAAAATGTTTTATTCGTAATCAAATATATTTTTGAAGAGATTCTTCGAAATATAAAGGGACTTTTAAAACATAACTGGGTTTCGCAAACTGACACTAAAGCTCCAACAGACAATTGCCGTAGCTTCTCACTTCTGCAACTGAGCGAGAGCTTTATTACCGGCAAAATATATTTACTTAAACAACTTCCACTGGAGAGAGGAGACGGGTATAGATGAGTTAGCAACGTTAGAACAGGAAATATTTTGAATTCATCCTGCATACTGCAGAAATTTGACAGTTGAAAATATATTAAATTGTCGATTGTCACAAATCTTAAAGAAATCCAGTTAGCAGTAAATTAATTTCGGAAGAGATATAAATATACTGTTTAAAGAAAATGAATCTTGAAAAATATAACGCGATAGACTAAAAAATTACATTAAATTCACCTTGAAAAAAACTTATAGGCAGATATTCTGTTCTGCAATGGAACAAAAAGTCCTCTTTCACTAACAGAAAGAACCCCGAAAATGTGGTTCATTAGAACTGCAAACAGCTGAGCACAAGCATTGCGCACTGGCCAGTGCGATGATCCGCAACCAAATATGCATTTGTGCAGTACTTCTTCTAATGACGAGGAAAGTTTATCGCGTAAACGGCTATCAGCATAAATTCGACGTAATATATTTATACAGTGTACTCTAAAGCAATAAAAAAGCGTTATAAAAAATAACAAGAACAAGTGCAATATTTTAAACTTATGACCTCAATTAGAACATATTTAATTTTTCAAAAACTACAACTCCAAAACGTGTTCAAAAGATTAAAATTTTTGAGTTCCAACTTTGTTTTAGGCCCTTCTCTTAAATACAAGATAAAGGAGCAATAAAGAGCTAAACGAAGCATTTAAAAACACTAAAAAGAAACTTTAAAAACCATTGATGCATAATTAATAAGTAATAAATCGACGAGATCTTACTGCATCTCAGGGCTGAACTTCGGAAAGTTGAGAAGCACTTCTAAACAGTGATGTAACAAAACTCCATTTCTTTCAGCAGGTTCTGTTAAGATAATTGAGCAAATAAGGTGAGGCAGACCAGCACTTCTTCTTGCAGAACAAAAACTATCATTTCCTACAAAATTTTCATAGATATTCAACAAAAACAAAGCCAGCTAAATAAGAGCAATGTTAACAAAAATGTTACCATCTTCATTTTCAAATGCAGCAAAAACTTGATGTAGCCAAGTCTCAGGAATAGTGGCATTTTCATTACCATTGGCCTTAAGTGGAGTAGACCAAAGAAGTTTACAGAGGTATTCGAAACCAGCAACAGCACATTCAAATGCACCACAATGTCGGCATTGAGTCAACTGTTCCCGGTAGAATTTACCAACTTTCTCAATTAGAAAAAAATCACATAGTCGCTCCAGCGGGAACTAAAACCGAAAGCTTGAAAATTTTGATTGATTTTATAAGCTTTCATAAGATACTTAAAAGCATCATAGTCACATATAGAGTAAAAAATAAGAAGTATTTGATTAATAAAATCAGGTACTGTTGAGCATCACTACCTTTGATAAAAGTAATCGCAATATTTCAGATATTTGTTTATGTGCTCGCCAACAGCACGCAACCAAAAACTGCGAGAATTCTCCTCCTTCGGTTTCTTAATTAAAAAAGAATATTTAGTCTGGAAAAACCGCAAAAAATGAGCTTTAAAATCAAAAAACATACCAGAGAATTGTTCATCGACTGCTGGCTTAAATCCTTCAGGAGACAACGCTTGAACAACTGGCGCGATCAGCTCCACAGTTCTGAAGCACAGTGATGGCACTTTTTCAAGCAAACAGCTTTCCCATTCGCTAAAATAACGAAAGAATAATGTATCTGCCACTCATTAATTCATCAAATGCGCTATTTTACAAAAAGTGCAGACTTTTCACAGCCCGAATTAAGTGAAAGATTGTAAAAATTTTATGGGTTTTGTGAATGAGAAATCCACTGTTCAGTTAACGATCTGATTAGTTCAGTAGGCAGAGATGAAAATTGATCGTACAGTTTAGTAAAACTTTTTACAAAAACTTTTTACCCTACCGCATTTTGTGGCGAAGAAAACACATTTCGCCATTAAAAATCACTTCAGGTAATTTAATTTCACTGAAACACCATTTAAGTTTCCACTTCGGCTTCATTAACTGACTATAAGTCTGGACTCCAAAAGCCTCCCAACATGAAACTACGTGTACTCAAAAGAAAGAAAAGCCCTATGTATGTGCGTTTTTTCAAGTAATTAACTTCAGTGTTTGAAATATCGTTTTAAAGTTCCCATCTCAGCACACTTTTTTCAAACCTCTGTGTTATAGAATAAACTTTTTAAGTTCTCAAAGTAAATATGACATATTCCCATATAAGACTAAGTCCTAAAAACTTTATTCGCACTGTATACTTTTAGATCACACTTGGCACAGCAAAAATTAAAACTTTCCTCATTTCGGAAACCTGTAACTTTGTAAAGTTATTTTCCAAAAGCAGTTCTCCGCTTCTTTTTTAAATTCCAAATTAGACATTAAAATTCATCAAAATTTCAAAAAATTTGAGTGGTAGATTAAAAATGTACAAGTTGATGTGAAATAACTTATATACTTAAGTCTTGAACACCCAAATTTACTCCTGAATCTCGAATTTAAAAATGAAAGAGTAATCAAAGTGGTAATGACACTATACCTTAGCAAACAACTGTCGGCCCAATCAATCATAACAGCTAGTGCGTTCAGTATTGAATGCAAAAAGCCGTCTTCCGTAGCTATTGCTAACAAAGACTTCGAGATCAGTCCTACTCTCACTTCACACATGCTTATTAATCTGTCGAATACTGACCGAAATTCAGCAGGAAATTTTGTAATATAAAATTTTAAGCGGTATCCAGAAGCGTCAGTGTTCAAGGAGCGAAGAGAAAGCAGTTTACAAATTGTCTTTTCAAAAAACTGTGAGAAATCAAACACCTAAAAAACTTTTTTAAAATCCCGCAGATACACAGAATAAGGAAGCTGATAAACTGAAACAGCTTTCTACAGCATGCTCATTAAAAGGTAAATTAAAAAAATGCTATCTCATTGCTTCGTTTCTATTACAGTTTTCCATCCACCTGCAGATGAATTTCAAGTAAAAATGCACAGGTTTTCACAAAACTCTGAAAATTACTGTAAGAACATAGTGCCATACTTCAACTACGTAATCACTCAATCTCCTACTTTAAATCAGTTCAAAAAGTACACCTGAAAAGGAGCTACTAAATGAAAATTCGCCGACGTGAGAATTGCGTACGCTGTAGACTGACACAGCAGATAAGAGTCATCAAACATCCCAATCAACGCAGACAAATTGTTTTCAGTAAGTTTTAATTTGTCTTTCATTCTTTCGTATAAAATTTCTGCAAGCAATAAGTAGTTAAACCACAGAAAATACCGCCTTAGCTAAAAAACTGTCTCCTTCAAAAGGTGGCCCAAGAAGTTCATGAGTCAGTTCACAACTTCAAGATCCACACGTTGAGCGAGGCACACAACAATTACTCACCTTTTACAGTAAACCATCTAGTTACCCAAGCTAAATAAATATTTGAAAAATTTACAACTTTCAAATTTTATTGCACTATCAGTTGAGTTTTTACCTGTTTCAACACTACACCAACACCGACGAACGTATATGAAATCCAGGACTTGCAAAGCCAGCAGACGACGGTTAAAATTTGCTCCTTTCCTGAGAGAAGTAAAAGAAAAGTCTTTGAGCCACAAAATAAAGTTTTCGTACAAACTTAATATGCCATCTGGATCTCCCTTCTTAACCAGTGTTAACGATACTCCAGCTATGCGAATGAAGACCTTTAACGAAAACCACCACTAATTTCTTAACAGTGAATAAAAAGAACCAAATTACATTTAAAAAATCACCAAAACCACTACCTTTTTCAGCCCTACAAGAATTTTTTGGCCAATTCCTGAATACTGTTCAGGAAAATTTATGAGTAAAAAGCTTCTGATTAAATCTATTTCAAATGCATCAAGAAATTTATGAACTTTGCGTTGCTCGGTGAGTACCATCCATGCACTTAAGCGTATCTAAAAACAAAGTTCCAACTCTATAAAAAGCTCCCTGTTGACAGACGTAGATGATTTTAAAATGATTACATAAAAACCTGAAAGCCTCAAAAAAATAAATGGTGGATACTGGTGATAATTAGTTTAACATAATGCATCATAATTCAATTCTAGTTTAGCCATATTTACTTTAAATTTATTATACTTTTAACTTGGAATGAGTGATCGCTTGAATCATCCTATCTTTACTAATCATTTCCTGCCACGAAATATCCTGCGGAGCCGCTTTTTGACTGAGAAGACATATTTTTGTAAGGGAAAGAATTGCATTTAAGCTCGCATCGTCAAAGCTTACTATAATTAAGAAAAACTTCATTGTTATAAAATAAATTTTTCCGAACTCAGAGTACAACGAATGTAAATAGACGTTTTGTAAAAATACTTACATGAGGCTAAGGGTAAAAAATAGGTTCTGATCCACTCGGTTAAACGCCTATCTCTGCACAAAGTTGGCAGCAGTTTTTCAACCACTGCTAAACGAACGCGCTCGTTTTCGGATCTCATAAGAGTAAGTAACTCACAGCTATGTAATTCACAGCGAGGTTCAATTCCCAAACTCATGGCTAAGTCATATGCAATTAACTCACTCGCCTAAAACATCATTAGAAGCCAAAAGTCAAAACTATACTTGAAATAATTGCTCAAGCAAAAATTCAAACTGGAAGCCTACTGCAAATTTTAATGCTTGGACGGACACACATCGATAAGCCTGATTAATGCAATCTGCAGGTAGGTGTTTCACTGTTGGAGAATTCTTTATGAAGGATAACTAAAACATTTCATAAGATCAATGCGCAAAGCGACTCTTTACATTTCTAACTTAAAATTTGAATTACTTTCATGGAACCAGATTTTTAAACCTAAATTACTCTCATATACACGAACAAAAAACCAAAAACTCCTTACCATACACCTAAGGTGCGCATTACAGCGTACAGGTGAGCCAAAAAGAAACTTGTGAAGATCCTGAACCCAGTCACAGGACGACTTACGACACACACGACAAGAACAAAAATGTAGTTTCAATAGAGAATCAAATATGCTGACACATATATAGCCAACTGCTTCGAGCACATAATCCCAATAGCTTAAGACAAAGGTCAAAAGTGACTTCTCCACTTCCGCAGATAAGAACGAAAATGTTTCCCTTAAATTTTTGGAAAAGAACGTTGCAGAGAACGTTTACAAGTTTTACAGAAGAAAATCTTTAATAAGACCAAATGACCCTTAATCGATATACAAAAAACTATTTTACAATTTGCAAAAACGCAGGTGGCTCTGGAAGAATAACTGGAAGCAAAAAGTGTTATGTTATCAGTATCGCAAATACAATAATTTGCTGGTTTCTGCCCTACAAGCAATGCAAAACCAAGTTCAAAAATGAGACTAAGTCTGAAAAATTGCTTTCATCAATTAGTTATTTATATAGCCATTAATGACAGCACTGCAACCTCTGCCAAAAAAAGACAAGAAAAAATTGCAAAAACGTCAATCCCTAACATGCTCCTATCTTCTAAAATTGAAAACTAAAAGCCTACTAGTGAGAGATAGTGAAGGAAGGCAAAACTACCTCAAAATAATCATGAGACGATCTATACACTTCGCGATATTATACAGCTCATCACCATCGTACGCGATACTGAAGTATGAATTAAAAAAACTTCATGACTCTTTATAATGAAATTGTTAAGAACGAAAGAATGATCTGAAACATTTCACCAATTTTCCAATTAATATCCTAATAATGGTAATATTTCATTAGAAATGCTGCTCTAGATAAATAATTACAATAAAACTAGGTTGAGGAGCAGAAGCTAACAGAAAATTTAAAAGCTTAAGGATCAAGTAAGAATAACATTAAAACTTACGCATTTGCTGACTGGAGCAACTTTTTCAGACACAGGTCCGTCAAGAAACACGCGTGTTTCTCACAACAGTTACTTAGCCAAGAGGGGTGACTCTTTCTAAAGAGGAACAAAAAATCATTTGCTGAGAATTTTTTCTTATTTAAGTGGTGGCACATCTGAACGACTCCATTTCCAGCATTAACAACAAGTTCAGGGCCCATTTCTGAAATAAAAAAATACTTAGCACCAACCCTCAAATGATAACTCAACAAGAAGATAATTACCGAAAACAATTGTTGGTATATCATAATAAAAACACCTATAAGAACACCAAGTGCTCAAAATTAATTAAAAGTTACGTAAAAATGACTGAAATATGTACCTACAAAAAAATAAATTAAATACTTTTCAAAACTCATTTACGTGGCTCTTGAAAACCAAGTGGCAATTCCAAGTATAGTTAGACTGTAACGGCATGTGTTACCATATCATTTTAGAAGAGCTGGATTACTAACTGTAGCAACCACTTGCCGTTTTGAAAAAATTAACAAAGCCATTGTTTTATTTGGAAATTGAGAAAATATACGGGGTTCTAAATAATTTTTGATTTGCTTAGTAGTCACTTGTTCGATAATTCAATTTCGGTTTTCCAGTTTCGCTAATTTACAGCACTACCAACCGTCTAAAGAACAAATTAAAATTCCACTTCCTCTGACCTGCGCACCGCTTATGACTCCAACCTCCTGAGAAAGTAACGACCCAAAGATGAATCAGCCAAAAACAGGATAAACCACAG